AACTGAAGAAATGCGCCGCGAATGCGAAATATTTTAGTAACCTACAAATAGTTCATACATTAGGGCACCCAGAGAACTAGCACAACCAGAAAATACCATACCTTGTATTTGTATTTTTTCTTGCTCTCGTTGAGGATGAGGCGCCAATGCCCTGTTCTCTCTGACTATCATAACTACTGGGAGAATTCTCAGTGATCGGTGAAAGAGGTATCTGAAGCGAACTGTCATCTTCATTCTCACGACGCGTCTCACATTCACTTACTGCATTACGCTGCCGTGATGACCTCTGCAACCTGATCCTTTCAGACGCACTTCCTGCAAACACACTGGCAAATTATAATTTAATTAAATTCCCTTTCATATTTTCTGAACAAATATTAAAAAAAAGAGAAAAGTGAAAAAAAAGCGATAATGCTTTGTCGAGGTGGACCAATTTCTTATCTCCCGCGGATTTTTCTCCTCTTCTACTTCTCCCCTTCCTTCCCAATCCTCCTCTGCCCAAATCCTTGCTCGGGACTGGGACACCCGAAAAACTCTTTTATCGAAGCAGCTGGGATAACTTCAATGTGTCAATTATCCGTTCACGTTCAAGAAAGCATAAAAAAGTCGATTTCCTGCAGCTCCAAATCATGTGTCTGGCACAAACGTGTTTCAAATAAAACTATATCATCATATAGAAACAAACTTACCATCTTTCTTGAGTTCTTCAGCCACATCCACATCTTTCCTTATCACTACCGGTGGTTTTAGGGGCTGAAAAACATTGGACAGCACGGACTGCTTTCAAACTGTTTCATATTCCTCAATTTTGATATTGACATTCGAAGAGGAAAAGCATGCTTACCATTTCTTCATCTGTCTTCGCTACTCGCTTTTCATTTTCCATTGCAGCGGTTGTTAATGGTCTATAGAGTAGACCGTAAATAACGCTAGATAAGCCCAAGACAGCAAGCGCACACACCGCTATCCTCCAGTTGTATTCTGAAATAGATTACTTCTTTATTGTCTGTAATTCTACTCTTGTTCTGGCAGACTGTGTCGCGACATATTTCTCATTGACTACTCTGTCAGTGGATTTTTCGATTTGTCCAACCATCACATACTGCACCGACCTATCAAAACCCAAAATTCATTGAATTTTGGTCCAATATTTTCCTTATTCTCAGCTTGCTTGTAAGCAGTCCTCAAATGAGGGAGCCATGGACAACCTTTTCATCAGGCATTTGCCCTCGGAATGTATTCAGATGAATTTACCTTTCACAGAAAGCGAATAAAAAACAGATATTGACTTTGATTTTCCATAAACACTAAAACTTACGGTTGATTAA